GAGTTTGTTGTAGCAATGAATACTAGAATCAGTAGTGGAAGAAAGTAGGAGTATGCTGAATGAGGTATCATCTTGCAGTTGCCATGTTGATAGACTTCTGTGAGCATCGTCACTAATTTCCCTGGCACAAGTGGGTGCCTCTCCTATGAGCACTTCGATACGATGCAGAGAAACAGTTGTCACCCCTCAAAGAACTGAGTTGAGGGATTATTTGTTTCTAGTAAGGAGGAAATTAGATTGCCAGGTAGGAGGCCTGCGTTCAGGTCCCAGGTCTGACTGTGTTACTTTTGAAGACTAAGTTATGCCTGATAAAAACAAAAGGCATTTGATTTTACTCAAGGCATTCAATTTAATTACACAGTAGGCATTCATTTTAATTACACAGTGCCAATGTATAGCAATGGGTGCTGCGTATTTCTTTTAAGGCATGTTTTAGTTGAAACATACCAGAGTTCAAACACAAGATATCTTGGTAGACAAAACAAAATGATAAGGGATACAAATATTGTTAAAAATGGAAACATTGTTAGACTGACCAGATGTCAATATGGTTTTAACCATTACCGTACACAAAGGTACATCTCTTTCAGTGGGAACTCCTATACTTTTTAGCTGGTGGACATCTCAAACGAAAATTTTGTAGTAGCCTGGTATGTGTGCTCATGTGTCTGTGCATGTATAGAGTGTACATTCACATTTGATTTTTTATATTTCTGTTTTAGACTGTAAGATGACCATGTAGAAATGATTTATTCCGGTATCAGGTATGTATCATTTTTAAAGATAATCTGGATATTCAGTATCAGGAGTGTAAACTATTTTCATGAGCTATTTCTCACACAGTGTTAACATTAATTGTTTTTTTTACAGTCTAATTCTTCAATAGACAAATCATTTGATGAAAATTAATAATTTTGTCATTGTACTTAATGAATAAACAAAAGTGAATATGTATGCATAGTATTTAAACTTAACTTGGCATTTCCAAATGACCTAATTCTCATTCTGGTGGAGGGAATGCATGCACTGAAACTTTCAAGTGTATTCTTACACCTCATCTTTAGAAACTTAACCCATCCCAGCTAAGTTAGGAGGATAGTCCTTTAGCATACCTGATAGCGGTGGAAAGATACAGCAATCTGCAGAATTTGGGACCTGCTCTAGAACTATTCAGACGTGTCTATGGTGCTTCTATATTAATATCTTAGGATTAGAAATACATTTTTAAAGTGAATCTTTCAGTCATGGTCATTTATTGTACTATCACAAAGTGCATTACAAAGTGGTCTCACAGAGAATGTAATGGTGTCCTTTTAGATGATGGAATGAAGCCAAAATGTGGACCTACACTAATGTTTCCTTTATTGAGTGCCACATTTCCTGAAAACAAGATGGGTAAAGAAACATGTACTAGATCGCAGGATCCGCTTGCTAATTGCACCCCTCCTTTAATAAACTTCCATGACACACAGTATTTGATGCAGAAGCCCAGAATTCTTCTCATTACCCACTAGATGTCACCATTGACACAGAAAAAATTGCGAGAATATATTTTTCTGCCTCTTAGAAGCGAGGTTGGTTGGTCTCACCACACCTTAATCAAAGTAGAACTCCAGTCCAAGAAATTCCAAGGAATTTGTGATGTTCTCTTAAAGCTGTGCATCCTCTGACCTTGTTTATTAACTGGAAAACATTGAAAAAATTTTACAGGAAGCCACATCTGGAATATTCTCTTGAGGCTTAGCCCCATGTGGTAGTAGGCTTCTCCATTCCTTACCCTCATTTGCTTTCCTCTGCTTCTCTTACATCCAGAGCCATTTGAATTGCCTATTCAGTAAAATAAACTGATAAATCTGTTAGGTACTGTTAGGTACCTTGCTAATTGGAAGTTTAAAATAGGCAGTATCGCGTTTTCCTATTTTATTATTATCTATTATAGTTATCACATCAGAGAAACCCAGTATGACAACTTCCCCTGTCTTTATTATTCACACAGTTACACTAAGATTATGGATAAAAATGAAGGGAGACAAAAAATATTCAGGCAGCTTTATTTGCCTAAGTTTAGCTGTTCTGTGTTTGAATGTTCTTTAATTGTACTTTATTATAATCATCATAATTTTTAGACCAATTTTCAGGGATTTTGTTTAGGTTGCTGTTTCATGTATTAATACATTTTAAAGTCAGAAAAGGCAATTGTCATGATCAAGAGGATAGACTTCTTGATAACTCTTGATAAGTAGCCCTTGGGTGAGCATGTTTCAGCAGTGTACACTAATAACTGTAGCGGACTTAGTGTGCTGCTTTTTTATTTCCTCAGGGATCACCTAAATTACCATCCATTTTGGCTAGAATTGCTGTTGCATATCATAATAGAAAAAAGATCATAATGGCTGTGAATCTGAGCAATTGTTTGTGAAAGGCCATTGGATTAGAGCATATGTTTCAAAAGATACTGCTTTGTAGTCCAAAAGAAGGTGTATTTTACTACTTGTACAGATACTGCTCCTGCAGTGAAAAAGTTGTCTGAATTCTGGAATGGATTTTGCTGCTTCTATATTCTGTCTCTGTATTTTGCCTTTTTTTCTCCTAGATTTGAGTTCCCTAATTGCAATTTTTCCTGCATGCTACTTGAGATCAAAGTCAACTAATCTCTGAACTTTGTATGATACATTGAAGATAGACTGAATTTAAGTTTATTCCTTTAACACATTCTTCCAATTTATTAAAATGCAGAAATATTAGGGCTTCATTTAATATCAAATACTTTAAATACAACTATTGACATTCAAGTGTTTAATTCAGAGAAATAAAACTGACAGGATAATAATACTTTGCATTTAGTTAGTGTATTATATAAAAAATATATGAGCATCATGCAAACGTTGTCTTGTGTTGCATTGTTACTGTAAATCTTGTCATATTCACTTTACAAAATAGGCATGTGGCACAGAGGGACTCTAAGTAGCTCAAGATCATTAATTAAGAACATAGAATTCAGAATTTCTCCCCCAACCATTAAACTACCATTTTTCGCTTCTGATGTCATAAAGAGAACACACAAAACATCCCTTAAACTCATTCCACCAAACTCTTGACAGTACTCAGTTGAACGAGTTCCAGTTCCGTTAGAACTTTGTTGTTAAGCTAATTGAGCAATTTCAGAAGCAAGAAAACATTCAGGAAGTGGTAAATTCATCAGCACAACAAAATGAATGGGAGTACATTCTTTTTACATTGAACCTTCAGGATGCCTCTCTAATCATCCTTCCCAAAATGTATGGAAAAGACTTACATAAACATACCATTACATGCAAATGTGACTTTAGCTGTTGAAGTTATCTGGTTCTGGGATTTCTTCTTAAAACTAACATACTCCACAGTGTTTGCTCAAAATGTTTCTCTCAGTTCCATAGCGGAAGAATAGGAATGAATGCTTTACTGCTGTGCCACAAACAAGGCGGTACGCAGTCTTGAGATACTCGGCTAATATAGGGCCTGAGATCTCCTCTGCCTCAATTCTCCTCCCCACTCCCCAATCTGTATACTCTTTTTTTTATTTATTTATTTTAGTGTAATTGTTCTGTGAAGTTGTAAGCTTCCTGATAAGTTAGCTCATGTGACATATGCCACTGTGTACTTTTTTGCTATGTTTTCTTCCTTTGGGAACATATCTATACCTGACTGCACTTAGGAAGAGGGGGTTGATTCCTGTTGTGTAACAGGGCATGTCTGGTTTTCAGAATTAGTACTTAGAAACAGTTAAATCAATGGCTGAGCAAGTGAATGCTCGAAGTTGGTAGAATGAACATTATCTGCAAACTTCTCTGTCTTCTCTTTTCCAGATGAAGCTGTTTTTACAGATGCTTGTCATTCAAGTTGTGGACAAGGCTCTGAGCAACATGATGTAATGTCAGAGCCAGCCCAGCTTTGAGTTGTAGGTTGTGCTTAGATGTCTTCCTGAGATCCCTTCCAACCTGAAGTATTCTATTATTGTGTGTTTCTCCTGAAATATTTTACAGCATTTACAGCATGATTTATAAAATGCAATTAAATATAAAGGATAGAAAAGGTAAACATACTTCATGTATTTTATTTTCTGTTTCGTGAGCTTGAGTTGTTGCTCATGAGTTTGCTTCATTGTAGTAGGAAGAGTTTGCCTACTACAAGATAAGGATATATGGATTAGTATTGCCACTGCATGCTTAGGTTATTTGCCAACTTGTAGGAAGAAGAAAATATGTGTTGTCTATAATCAACTATATTCTGTAAGCCTAGAAACAATAGCATTCCCTTCTTGAACAGATAGTGATAGTATGTTGAGTATGGAGAGTTTTAGCAAAATTTCTACGACATAAAAATACTATTTTTTTTTTTCAGTGAAGTTAACATGCACAGGTATAAATGAAGCAAGCATGATATCAGAGAGACACGGTAGGTTACAATATGACTTGACATTTCAAAAAAGTTTATGATTTGGGGGAAGCTGTAAATAAATAAGGTAGATTTTTTTAAACAACTGAAGCTTCTTTCTTTGACTATGCAAAGTACCTCCTCTTGCAGATCTCCCTTCACAAGCAATGTGTTCCCGTGTTTAATGGAGTAAGTTGAAAAAGAAGAATAATTTCGCCAAGCACAGAAACCTTATTCTATTTCTTCCTTTTCTGTAGCTTAATAATTTACAATCAGTGAAGATCTCTATTTGTATCTCCAGTTTTTGTTCTGCATGATGAAAGATGTAATCTCAATTGTAAAACGTGTACAACAGTGTAACAGTTCTGAGATTGCCTGAGTTTTTTCAGATTCCTGATCTGAATTAGTTCTTCTTCAAATGTGTTAAAGCTGTTAAATGCACATTTCCCACTTTTACTAACACTTGTTTATAAACTACAGTTTTCCAAAGTCGTCTACTTTATTCATGGTGTTTGTCTTTGAAACTGGAACATTTTGTTTGGTTGAACTCTTGAGCTGCTTTTTAGCTCAAGAAAATCAGACCAATATCAGTGAATGTGAAGGATCTTTTTGAATGTCTTCTTGAAATTCTGGTTACAAAGAGGATACAGGAATGGATTTAAGGTGGAGTTCACATAGCCAAGCCATATAGTGAACATGTGTAATTTCAAAAATTGTTCATTGCCATGGAAAGCTATTACCATAAATAATACAAAATAGGGACTCCAGCACAGCATAAAAGCTGCCATTATGACCCCTAACTGCTTAGCTGCTTTCCTCTCCCTGTTCCCATGCAGTCCTTGCATGTCCCTTTTGGAATGGGTATGCAGATTTTGCCAGGTTTTCCTCAGGTAAGTCAGTCCTCCAAAATCCCTGTTGTCAGTCTTTTCCTGAGGACTGCAGGCTCCTTCAGGGTTAGAACTGGAGTGCTCTCTACAGGGTACCTCCTCTGTGAAAGTATGGTTGTCTGATGCATTGCTTAAGTCACTGTCTTGTGAGCAAGGCTTCTCTTCATTTTCGTTGTCTTTTGTTACACACACACACTTCTTTCCTGCTTTATCCAGGCCTGGCTCAGACTGGGCAGTAGTGAGAGGAAAACAGCTCCATTTAAGGACTTTCTTATTACTCTTGCTAACGAATGCCTTTGAAGACTTGTCAGGATTACTGAAATGAAGCTCTGCCTCCATATTTTTGGGCTGAAGAGAGCTTTGCTTGTCTTTGGGAGGGGTTTTCTCATCTAAGATTTGGTTTTGGAGACAAATATTTTGCTCATCCTTTGTCTTACTATGATGCATGGGTTTTTTTTCTGAGGAAGACGGATATGATTCACCGATGAACTCTCGGTGCCGACAATGTTTTCGAACAGCTCTGAATATTTTGTAGTAGAACCATAGCATCATGATAGAGGGTAGGTAGAAATTGACAATGGCTGTCAACACTTTAAACCAGGCAACTTCAGAGAATTCAGTTTCACATTTGTTTTCCTTTCCTTTCCTTTTCCCATTATTAGTAAAAACATGCCATCCTAGGATTGGAATGACCCACATGAAAGAGAGCAACCAAACCCCCAAAATCATTAGCAATGCTCTCATTTTTGTTCTATACCTGAGATACTTCAGTGGTTGCTGAACTGAACGATAACGGTCAATGCACAATATGAAGAGACTGAAAATGGATGCAGTACTGGCCACATAATCCATTGACAGCCAGAACAAACAAGCTGGTAAGCCTAGAGTCCACACAGGACTTAGGTGATAAACAATATTCAGGGGCATAACAGCTGTACCAACTATAAGATCTGCAATAGAGAGGCTGACAATGTATAAATTGCCAACTGTTTGCAGCTTCTTTTCAGTTTTCACAGCACATAGTACTAATATATTCATGACAATCGTGATCAGTGAAATGCTTCCCAGGAACACACCTAGAAGAGCTGAGTGAGGGTCAGTCGAGTTCTCTGTTGTGTTTTTTGACATCTTTTGCACAAGAACACAGAATGAAAATCAGAGAAGATGTCCAGGCCTTGGAAATTCAGCCTTAGTTTACACTCCTGGATGAAAACGTGTTGGATTGCTTTGTGATTTTTATTTCCAGAACTATAAAAAAGAAAAGAAATACGCTCCGTCACTGTTGTACTAAAATAAAGTAATAAATCTGTGCTTCAGCTTAGCACTGTCCCTTTTAGGACTTTCCTAAATAATTAATTTTTACATTTTACGTATGGGTAATTTAAGATGTATCCTATGAAAAATACTGGAGCAAGCTCCATGAACCAATCCAAAATGGTTTGCAGAGGTGTTTCATGGGGCTTCATATAATTCCGACTCCAGAAACCTGGAGAAGAGATTTCAGTACTCACTGTTTGAATTTCCTATATCTCATTAAATAGCAGATCATGAACCATGACATAAACTACATATTGGCAAACCAATTTAAAGCGTGTTGATAAAAAGCAAATTAACATGTTTTGTACTAAATAGTTTTAAACAAACCAGTAATTATTCACAAACTACATCTAATAGTTTGAGAATACAGCAGTTGGATTTAGTTATCCACCAATAATCACAGAATCATAGAATCGTTTAGGTTGGAAAAGACCCTTAAGATCATCAAGTCCAACCGTTAACCTAGCACTGCCAAGTCCACCACTAAACCATGGCCCTAAGCACCACATCTACACGTCTTTTAAATGCCTCCAGGGATGGTGACTCAAGCACTTCCCTGGGCAGCCTGCTCCAGTGCTTGACAACCCTTTTGGTGAAGAAATGTCTTCTAATACCCCATCTAAATATCCCCTGGCGCAACTTGAGACCATTTCCT